CCCCACCGAAGGCCCCAGTGCCACCGTCCATATGCGCACGGGAAATGTAATCTGGCATTTTCACCCGCGCAGTGCAGCGTTTCGTGGCCCCATAGGGGGCTCCACCGAAGCCCCCAGTGAGACCGTCCGCGTGCGTCCCCGAAACCCAATTTGGCATTTTCACTCACTCAGTAGAGCGCTTCGTGGCCCCATAGGGAGCTCCACCGAAGCCCTCAGTGGGACCGTCCGCATGCGCCCCGGAAACCCAATTCGGCACACCACCCACACAATGCAGCGTTCCCCCCCGCCCAGTGTAGCGCTTCGTGGCCCCATAGGGAGCTTCACCGAGGCAGATATTCACAATTACGGTACCCACAACTGCATATGGTTGAGACCTTCGCCAGGATATTTTTTTCGGTGGTCGAATCTTCACCAATTCCCAGATCCTGTTCATCTCCTGTTTTTCCCTCCTTTTGTAGATCCCTGGTCAAGTCAAATATCCTCCCGAATTCGTGCGTTTTCCTTTTGTAGAATCTTCCCCAATTCCCAAACACGCACCAACCCTCATTCTTCCCTTGTAGCATCCTTTTCAATTCTCAAATGCTCCACAACACCTGCTTGGCTCCTCTGCGTAACCCTCCCCAATTCGAAAATCCTCCACAATTCCTGCTTTTTCCTTGTAGTATCCTCCTCACGTCACACATCCTCCCCAATTCCTGCTGCTTCCTTTTTTAGAGACCTCCCCAATTCCAAACTCCTTCCCAATTCTTGGTTCTTCCTCGTAATATCCTCCTCACGTCACAAATCTTCCCCAACTCCTGCTGTTTCTTTTTTAGAACCCACCTCAATTCACAATTCCTCCCCAACACCTGGTTTTTCCTTTTTTTGAATCCTCCCTAGTTCCCATATCCTCCCGAACTCCTGTTCTTTCCCCTCTCGGATCCTCCCGGATCCCCACACATCCTCCCCACTTCTTGCTTATTTATTTGCCGAATCCTCACCAGTTCCCAAATCCTCCTCAACTTCTCCTTTTTCCTTTTGTAGAATCCTCCCCAATTCCCAACTCCTCGAACTCTTGCTTTTTCAATTGTAGAACCCTCGCCAATTCCCATTTCCTCCCCAACACTTGCTTTGTCCTCTGTAGGTTCCTCCCCCTTTCCAGAATCCTTTGCAACTCCTGTTTTTTCTTGCTGGAAGAATCCGCATTAATTCCCAACCCCTCCCCAACTCCTATATTCTCCTGTGTAGAATCCTTCCAAATTTCCCAAATCCTACCCAGCTCTCACTGTTTCCCATGTGGTTCCACAATCCATCTCAACTCGTGCTTTTTTCTCTGTTGAATCCTCCCCAATTCCCAAATCCGCCCAAACTCCTGCTGTGTCTTTTGTCGACAAGCCCCAACATCCTCTACAACTCCTGGTGTGTTCTTCTGTGGAACCTTTTTACGAATTCCCAAATCCTTCCCAACTTCTGCGTTCTCCTTTGTAGAATCTTTCCCAATTCCCAACTCATCCCCAACTCCCGCTTGTTCCTTTGCAGAAAACTCGCGGATCCCCAGAACCACCCCAACTCCTGCTCCTTCCTCTTTGGAATCCTCTTCGATTCCCAAAATGCTCCCCAACTCCTGCTTTTTCTTTGTAGAATCCTCCACACTTCCAATATCCTGTCGAACTCTTGCTTCTTCGTATGTAGGACCGTCTCCCATTCCCGGATCCTCCCCAACTCCTGCTTGCTCCTTTGTAAAACCCTCTCCAAATCCAAGATTCTCCCCAACTCCTGATTTTGCCTGCCGAATCTCTGTCAATTCCCACATCCTCCCCAATTCCTGGTTCTCCCTGTTGTAGAATCCTGTCAAGTTCCAAAATCCTTCCCGTCGGGTTCCAACTCCTGCTTTGTTCTTCTGTGTATATGTGCCCAACGTATTCCAAAAACCTCTCCAATTGCTGCTCCAGTGGATTCCTCCCAAATTTCCAATCCCTCCCCGACTCATGCCTTTTTCATGTCTGTCGAATCCTCCTCAATGACCAAATCCTCCCCGACTCCTGCTTCTTCCTTTTGTATAAGCCCCTTTCAATTCCCAAACACTCCCCAACTCCTGTTTCTGTTTCCTTTCTGTAGAATCCTCCCCGCTGACCAAATCCTGCCCAACTCCTGCTGTTTCCTATGTCGAATCCTCGCGGGTTCCTGATATAATCCTCTCCAACTCTTGCTTGCTCCTTTGTAGAATCCTCCCGACTTTCTAAGTCCGCAACAACTCTTGCTTTTTTACGCGTAGCATCAATCTTTTCGAAGTCCCACATCCTCCCCATTTCCTGCTGTTTCCTCTGCAGAATCCCTTGCGATTCCCGAATCCTCACCAATTTCTGTCGTTTTCCTATGTCGAACCACTCCCAATTCCCAAGTCCTGCCCGACTCGTGCCTTGTTCCTTTGTGGAACCTTCCCTAATTCCAGAACGTCCTCCCCGACTCTTGGTTTCTTCTCGGTGGAATCGTTCCCAATGTCCAAATCCCCCCCCGACTCCTGTTTGTTCCTTTTTGTAGAATCTTCCCAGATTTCTCAATCTCCCCAGCTCTCGCATTTTCCATTTTCGCATCTTCCCGAATTCCAAAATCCTCGCCACCTCCTGCTTTCTCCTGTGCGGTATCCTCCCCACTTCACACATCCTGCCCAACCCCTGCGGTTTCCTTTGTAGAACCCTCCCCAATTCTCAATTCCTCCCCAACTCCTGCTTTTTCCTTTTTGTTGAATCCTCCCCACTTCCCCAATCCTTCCCAACTCGTGGTTCCCCCTTTTCAGAATCTTCCCCAATTCCCAACTCCTCTCGAGCATGTGCAGAATCCTCCCCAATTTCCACATCCTCCCCATTTCTGGTCTTCTCCTCAGCAGAATCCTCACCGACTTTCAAATCCTCACCATCTCCTGCTTTCCTCCTTCGTAGGATCTTCCCGAAGTCCCACATCCCCCCTAACGTATCTCTTTTCCTCTGTAGAATCCCCCGCAACTCCAGCCCTACCAAAACAAAACACTGCCCATCCTTGAAGTCACGCGCCCATTACATTACCGGAAGCATCTCTCCAGCACTTTCAATTGTAATATCGAAATTCTCTGCAGTAGGTGCATAGATCATAATTGCGTCCGCACATGTATGTAAAGGGTCTTCCATAGCGCAAGCGGCGCGGAAAATCTACTGCCAACTGCCATGCCGTGCGCGTGCCACAACCGAGCGAAGTGAACCCCACCCTCCCCCTCAGAATTCGTGGGGGGTGGGGGTCGGGTTCGTATGTGGCGCCCGGGGGGCCTTCTTTAGGGACTCGCGCGGCCGCCGTCCAGGACCCGTCGGGGCCGTCGGGGGGCTCCTCCTTCGGGGCGTTCGGCGGGCTCTCTGGAGGGTCCTCTGGCTGAGGAGGAGGAGGAGGAGGAGGAGGAGGAGGAGGAGGAGGAGGAGGAGGAGGAGGAGGAGGAGGAGGAGGAGGGGGGGGGAGGACCGCTCGGAGTCGCGTTCGGCCCGAAAGGGCTGAGGAATTAAAGTTCACGAGCAACTGTTGGGCTGTTGCTCCTCGTTCGCCTCCCGGGGTGTCCTTCCAGCGCCCTCTCGGTGTGTCTTGGCGATCTCTCGGGCCCTCCTGGGTCGTCCTGCGGTGGTCTCGGGGCCGTCCGGGTCCGTCTGGGGCTGGAGCGCTCTCGGGCTTGCCTTGGGCCGCCGTGTGCCCTCTCGGGGCGCCCGCGACGGGGCCATGCCGGTCGGGACCCACCCTTGTATCGACTAGACGTAAGAGTGACCTTTCGCCAGAGTGACCTTTGGTGCGGGCGCAGATGGGCCCCCAGATGGCTGAAAACGAAGCGGTAGCAGGGGCTTGCGCGCCCAGGTTTGGCTTCCCCGCGGCGGCCCCCCAAAAAGCCGCGCACCAAAGGTCACTCTAACCCAGGGGCACTCCTTGCATGCAGCCGACTGTAGCAAATCTGTTCTCTGTCTTGGGTAAACTCTTGGAAGTTTGTACGGCCCGTCTTGGGGCCCTCCGTCCAAGAGGCTTGGGGCTCCCGTGGGCCCCTCTTCGGGCCCTCCTGGTCCGACCCGGGACGCCACCGATCGATAAAGGGTTAGTCCATGATAAGCGCATCCCCCCGGTCGGAGCCCGAACAGTCGCCTCTTGCGGCCCTCCTGGAGCGCTCTGGGGCGTCTCGGAGCCATCTTGAGGCCTCAAAGCCCCTCGAAAGCGAACGCGAAATCATGAAAGGGCAAACGTCCGTAAATCTCACTAGGTGTTGAAACGGTTGCTGAAGGACTTGGACCCCTCGGGGGCGATCTTGGAATGTTCCGTGCTCCGAGGCCGCTTGGAGTCGAGCTTTGGCGGTCCTTGGCTTTGGCATGCTTGACGGAGGCTATCTTGAGTTATGTCGTCCATCTTCCGGCACAGCCCATAGAGGCCCCCAGCGCGCCCACAGAGGCCGCAGCCCTCAGAGGCCCCAAACACGCCCACGGAGGCCCCAGCGCGTTGACCACTGAAGCTCCCCAACAAAGTCCACTGAAACCCCCGACACAGCCCACAGAGGCCCTAGCCTTAAGTCGGGCCTGTCCCTCTACAGGGGAAAAATTCAATGGGACTATTGTTTGATCATTTTTGAGTAGTTTTAGTCTATTCTTTTGGGCATTGTTTAATTTTTCATCCAAAATCGGCCCATAGGGGGACAGGCCCGACTTAACCCTAGCCCACAGAGGCCTCAAGCGTGCCCACGGAGGCCCCAGCGCGCTGCCCACTGAGGCCCCCAGGAGGCCATCTTGGGCCGTCTGGGCCCTATCATGGAGCCATCTGGGGAAAAACGAAGACCTTCTGACACCTCGCGAACGCCCCGTCCCGACCCCAGGGGAGGGGGCGAGGGGAGGGCGGGCCCCCCCCCCTGCAAGTGGAAACGATTTGAACGACCTGAGCCCAGAGGGCTCGTGGACCTCGTCGTGGAAATTCCCCGCAGAGGGGCGGCTGATGTGGTATCTCACGTGCCGTGCCCAAGCGGATTCTTGGAGAATGTCGTGCAGATGTTGACGCTCGTGCTGGTATTCGGAGCATCAAATTCATGTGCGGTCAAGACTCGGCCTACTCTCCCCCCTCTCCTCTCCCCCTTTTGCTCCTCGTCTCTCCAGTCAGTGTGCTCTCTCCTCTCTCCACCGCCTCCTTTCTTCTCTCCCTCTCTTCTCCTCCGCCCTCTCCTGGCCCCCCTCGCTCAGAGGGGGTGGGGGGAGGGCGAATCCCCCCATCTTTCTGTTTTTAGCTGTCCCGAGGTATGTGTCAGGGACGCTGACTTGCACGAGCTGGCTGTGTATTGGTTGCTCTTTAGTGCGCCAGCGATTGCCCAGGTGATATTCGATGTTGTGATGTTTGTGTTATTTGTAATGTCAGCGCTGCGAAGCCTCAGCGACGAGCTGAGGATCACGAAGTCCATGTCGAGGAGGGCATTCGTGGATCCACTGCACCACGCGGCAGGTTCTCCAAGTGAAGCAAAAGCACCAGTGCTAGGAAATGCTTGGGCCAGAGATCTCTGCAGCTGCTTCAGGCATGGAAGCATTCCCCAAACAGTGGCTGCACTCGGCCCATCTGACTGTGTTCTGAAATGTATGTTTGGTCTGGAGTACTTCATTGAACGCCACGAGAGGCAGGCACCGCCGGCTCACTTGTTTGGGGGCTTGGTCGCTTCTGCCAGAAAACATACAGATCGTGTACGAACTGACGCTGAAGAGGTTACGGAGGAAAGCCCAACGGGGGAGAGGCGGAGGAGGCCAGGGACGACGCAGTGCTGGGAGGGCGGAGGAGGCCCTGGAGGGCCAGGCAGAGGCAGAGGCGGGAGTCGCAGACGGGAAGGGGGGGCGGCGGGGGGAAGATCCGCAGGATGCGAAGAGGCGGATTGATATGGTGGTTGTGAGAAAGAGGGGAGGGAAAGTGCCCGTAGTACACCCTGCGAAATGCTTAAGAAATCATGGGTTAAGAAATTCATAGTCTCAGATCTTGAATAACAACCCAAAATTCCCATTCAAATCTTAGGATTTACATTGAAACATTAAGAATAATCGAGACCCTGGCCGAAAATTCAAGTTTTCTTAAGCATCGCCTAAGGTGTAGCCAGAGCCACGCATGGAGAGGGACAAGGGGGACAGACCCCGCCCCTCCCTTGCACCAGACGCTTCCCCCCCCCGACCCTGCAGACGCCTCCGGCAGGGCACCGCCGCGAGCTCCGCCCTCGGGGCCGCTCGGCACGCTGGCCTTCGCCGGCCTCGGTGCCGCGGAGTCTGGAGAGGGAGGGGCCGCGTTCAGGAGAATGCCTGCTGGACTTGGTCAGCTCTCCCGTCGGCATGCCTGCTCCCCCCCCTCATCCTCAGCTGCGGCAGCAGCGAGGCAAGCGGGGAGGAGAGGAGACCGATCTAGGCGCCCGTGTGCACAGACTTTCGCGGCCTCGTCCGCGACCCTGCAGCCGGACTGCGATCTGGAGCAGTTTCTGGAGCTGCTCCCCCGAATTTGTCCATGTTCCCCATGAGCTAGGATTCGCTCTCGAAGCACTTGCTCTCGATGTGCTGTTAGTACTTCTGCTGCTGCATCTAAAAGTGTCCCTGAAACTTGTCACTGAACGTGGGTCAACCACGGCTGCATCTTCACTTATGCACTGTTGAGCTCGCCATCGAGCTTCGACTGCTGTCTCTCCATGACCTCTCGCTGCTCCTGCTGAAGCTGTTTGAGCTGGCCCGGCTCCAGCTCCCCGAACTGCTCCAGCTTTTGCTTCAGGGTGTTCTCGCACAGCGTGTACGCCACGCAGTTCTCGACCACATCCAGCGTTTTCTCCACCCAGTCGAGCTGCGCCAACTTCTCAACGAGCTCGCATTGCTTCTTGGGCGTCTCAGCCTCGTTGCAAGGCACCTCAGACTGCATGATCTTCACCTGCTCCTGCTGCTGCTTGTGCGGCCGCTACCTGTCCATTTCGCTCTTCTCCGAGGCCTGGTCGGACATGGGGGGCCCTGCTGCGTCGACGCGTCAATGACGCCTGCGCAGACGTACGGGTCAGGATGGGCCTGGGCCCTCTTGGTGGCTGGGGCCGAGCACCCCTCTCCCCTCGCAGTCAGGCTCGTGCGCACAGCCTTCGACGAGGCCTTGCCCTTGAGGCCGAGGACCTTCCCCGCACCATGCAAGACCTTCTCGAAGCCACGGATGGTATCTTGCTTGCCACGCTCAATGCAAGGCCCACTCAGCTCCAGCGTGACGTGGGTCGTGTCCAAGGCCGAGAGGACGTGCGCGACTGCGGAGACATGCCTGCTCCCGCGCAACGTACGCCTAGGGGCCAATGCCGTATAAAAGGAGTTGTGACATCAACGCACTGATGGAGGTACCAGATCGATTAAGCCTCAATGTCTACGGGTGGAGAAGAGGAGGAAGAGGCGGAGGAACAGAACGAGGAGGCGCACGAGGATGCGGAGGAGGGGGTGCTGAAGGAGGAGGAGGAGGAGGAGGAGCGACAGGGGGATCGGAAGCAGCTAGAGGAGGAGATTGACGAGGAGGAGGGGGAGGAATGCAAGTAAGGTGCGAGGGGGGTAATAAATGGGAAAGAAGATGGCGCAGAGGCAATCGCGCCGCTTATTCTGCTGGCCCGTAGAGTACCGAATTTGCCACATGTTGCGTGGCCGAGGCGACTCGGAAATCGTCGGGCGGTGGTAGTTTGCCCGAATTGTTACGTGAAGTTCGCGCTAAGGAGGAGCAACTGTTTCCTCAGCCGCTGGGGATACCATTCCGGAACACTCGGGGCGGAAGTGGGAGAGGCTGAGTACAGGAATGAGAAGCAGGACGAGGAGGAGAGGGACCTTCTGCTATGCATCCTGAGAAGGAGCATGAGCAGGAACAAAATGCAGGCCGATCTCGCCATCGTGCCTGGAAGCCGTCTTCGAGCTCCCTTTGGTTGTGTATGGGCCATCCTGGAGGCCTCTTGGCTCATTTGGGGACGATCTTGGGGGCGTCTTGGGCCGTCTTGGCGCGTTCGAAGACAAGACCAACGATGGGACAAACACAGGTGGTTAGCCAGCGCTGACCCCTAAACAATGCATATTTACATTGTGGAGGTGGATGCTGTGTGGTATACATGACGTGGTGGATATCAAGTGAGGTATGTGGTATGCTTTATGGAGATTAGAGCTGCGTGGCGTAGTTTATGTGGTGAACGTTATGACGTTCAAGATATCCGACTTGGACTACGGAGATGGGAACTGCGTGCTGTAAAATATGTCGTGTAAGCTATGCGGTGTGCATAAGGGGTGAACGCTATTAGGTGTAAGCTGTGCGGCTTATGCTACGTTGTCTCAGGTATGTGGTGTAAGCCATGTGGTGGAAGCTGGGTGGTGAACGCTACGTCGTGAAAGCTCAGAGCGCGGGAGGCGCCCGCGAGGCGCCCGCGAGGTGGCACGAGCGGCAGCGCGCCGCTCATCCGAAGTATCCCCCGGGCGCGGGGCGCCCACGTGGCGGCACGGTGCGGCGACGTGGCGAACACCTGAGCGCAGGGCGCCCACGAGGCGGGCAGGAGCGGCAGGGTGGCGAACACCCCGCACGCCTGCCAATCGCGGGGCGCCCACGAGGCGGCACGGGCGGCAGCTTGGTGCAGACCCAAGATGCCCACCAAGGCGCAGGGCGCCCACGAGGCAGCACGGGTGGCAGCGTGGCGAACACCAAGCAGAGACCTCCAGTTCCTCAGGAAAGCCACATCAGAAGCCCCCAGTGCAAGCACTGTTTGGGGAAGTTTGTCTCTCGGAGCTTTCTTTGGGCGCCCTTGAGGTGTGTTGGAAGCCTCTTTGGGCCGTCAAAAGGTGGTATTGGGCGTCTTGGGGCGCTCTTTGGCCGTCTCGGAAGTGCGGCTCCTGGAGCGCTCTGGGGAGCTTTCAGACCGCGCTTAGGGGGAACACCATACATCACGTATTTCTTTCCAGTACCTTCCCTGGACTCTGCGGGGACCTTCGCGGGGTATTCTGCGTCCAGGGACCTCCAAGGGCCGCCCCGCGCACGCGAATTATAGATATATATGTATATATATATATATAGATATATCCAACAACTGTTAACTATTGGAGACTCCAGCACGCCATTGGCACGATGGGCTGTCGAAATGTTCAGCAGTTGGCTGGTCCTTCGTTGCCGCCGGTTTCTCGGTTTCGTGAACATTGTTCTTTCGGTGTGTTAGGTCCCGCGCAGAAGGTCTTGGGCTTGGTGGCGTGTGTGTGTGTGTGTGTGTGCGCATTGTTTTTTCCCAATCATCCTGTGGTGTTGGGTCCTCGTTTTGAAGAGATGGTCCCCGCGTTTACTCCTCCTCCCGTTGCCCCCTCCCTCCTCCCTCCCCCGTCATCATCGCCACCACCCGTTTCAGCACACCCCTCACACGTTTCGTGGCCCCATACGGAGCTACACCGAAGGACCCAGTGGAGGTGTCCGATTGCGTCCCCCACGCCCAGTACAGCGTTTCGTGGCCCCATAAGGAGCTCCACCGAAGGCTCCATTGGGGGTGCCCGCATGCGTCTGCCACACCCAGTAGAGGGTTTTGTGGCCCCATATGGGAGCTCCACCGAAGGCCCCAGTGCGGGTGACCGCATGCGTCCCCCACAGCCAGTACAGCGCTTCGTGGCCCCATAGGGAGGCCCACCGAAGGCCCCAGTGGGGGTGCCCGCATGCGTCCCCCCACCCAGTACAGCCAGCGCCTCGCGGCCTCATAGGGCGCTCTACCAAAGGCCCCAGTGGGGGTGCCCGCATGCGTCCCATGGCCCCATATGGGAGCTCCACCGAAGGCCCCAGTCGGGCTGCCCGCGTACGTCCGCCACACCTAGTACAGCGTGTCGTGCCCTCATAGGGAGCTTCACCGAAGGCCCTAGTGGTGGTGCCCGCATGCGTTCGACACGCCCACGACAGCGCTTCGTGGCCCCAGAAGGAGCTCCACCGAAGGCCCCAGTGGGGATGCCCGCATGCGTCCCCCACACCTTGTACAGCAATTCGTGGGCCCATAGGTATGTCATAGGGAGCTCCACCGAAGGCCCCCGTGGGGTGCCCGCATGCGCCCCCCCAGCCAGTCCAGCGCTGCGTAGTCCCATAGGTAGCTCCACCGAAGGCCCCAGTGGGGGTGCTCGCATGCGTCCGCCACACCCAGTACAGCGCTTCGTGGCCCCATAGGGAGCTCCACCGAAGGCCCCAGTGGGGGTGCCCGCATGCGTCCGCCACAGCCAATGCAGCGCGACGTGGCCCCATGGGGGGCTCCACCGAAGGCTCCAGGTGGACCGCCCGCGCGCGTCCGCCACAGCCAGTACAGTGCTTCGTGGCCCCATGGGGAGCGCCACCGAAGGCCCCAGTGGGACCGCCCGCATGCGCCCCCACCACCCAATACAGCGTTTCGTGGCCCCATATGGGGGCTCCACCGAAGGCGCCAGTGGCACGTCCCGCATGCGTCCTCCCACCCAGTACCCTGCGGCCAACTATAGTTGGCCGCAGGGTACCGCCCACGGGATCCTCGCCATAATTGCCCCGTGAGCGTGGTTTCTGCGGCAGTTGGCCAAGGAACCCTGGGTGCCCGTGCCCCTGAGCATTGGACGTCGTGGCAGTTGGCTCCAGGGCCCCGCCCAGTGAGTTTCGGTATTTCCTGCCCATGTGAGTGAAGTGGAGTTTCGTGGTAATTGACCGTGCGGTCCCAATTTTGCTTGCCCCTTTGTGTTCGGCTTCTGCGTTGTTGGCTGTACGGCCCAGCCTTGCGTCTGGCTTTTGGAATATGTGGTCACCTCACCAAAAATGATATCGGAATTTAGGTGCCGTGCTGGCCTTATTCCAATGTCTGGCGCTTGCAGGTGAGGGTGTGTCTTCTCGTTCTCATTATGATCATAGGTTTGTTTAAGGTGTTGGATAAGGATTTGAAGGTTCTGGTATTGTAAGCCAGCCTGTTGCAGGTGTCTATCTCATCAGTTGCGGCTGTTGGGAGGAAAAAGAAGGCCCACGACCCGAGGCATGGACTTGGTGTCTAGTCTTGGCCCTGCTAATCAAGCTGTTCAGGATCCTTGATCATTTGTCGAGAGAAAGCAAGATGGGGGAACTGCTCATTCCCATGACCGACGCTCTCATGGACCCAAAGATGATTAGCATGCTCATCTTACTCATACTATGCTGGATAATATCCGTTGCAGTGCTTCAAGCAGTTCAAGGGCTGTTCGGGCAGGACACTTTGCCACATACACTTCTGAAGACTTGGGTGAATCTCATCGTGGGGGAGCCTGTGATGCTCGATGTAGAACACTTCGATTCGCCCTGGTATGATTCCGCCTTGATAGTTGTATTCCATTTTGTTTTCAGTGTTGCATTTCTTAACATGTTGCTAGCCACGACCATCGATACCTACAACAAGAAGAGCGTCAGCTTAAAAGGCCGCCTCATGCTGAGCAAGAAAAGCGTTTGCATGCACTGGCTCACACAGCGGGAGTGCATGCTCGATTCTTACCGCTACCTGTTCGATTCCACGCCGCACCGAGCGAAGTTCTGGGCGTTCGTCGCGGTGGTCACGACCGTGGCTATCCTCCTTGTCGTGGAGGCGCTGTCCGTCTGGATGAGCGCGATGACGCCGGCTTGGCTGCCGGCGATGATCGTTACCACAGTTCTGCTTGGTTGCAGAGTGCGTTTCATGCTGCAGAGCGCGCTGGTGCCGGAGGGCAGCAACAGTTCTGTCGACGGGGCCTGCGGCGGCGCCGGGAAGCAGTTCGATGAGCCGCCGTTCCTCTGGGTGTGCACTCCGGAGAGGTTCGACAAGTCCTGGGTGGAGGCCAGCTCCTCTGCCCTCTTCCCTCCCGACTCCTCTTATCGTCTCTGCTGCACCTCCTTCCCTTCTCCTCCTCCCTCTCCTCCTCCTCCTCCTCCTCCTCCTCCTCCTCCTCCTCCTCCTCCTCCTCCTCCTCCTCCTCCTCCTCCTCCTCCTTCCTCCTCCCCCCTACGCTTCCTCGTCCTCCTCCCAATACTTTTCCTCCCTCCCGTCGCTCCCCTCTCCTCCACCTCCTCTCAGGGGCAACGTTGCGGCGGGGTAGGCTCAGGGGAGATGCATCGACCGCCAATCGCCCATTCATCGCCGATGAGGGCCCGATAGCTCACCACGCCCAGGACCGCGCGGATTCGCCATCAGGGGCCTGTCGCCGATCTGTTGGCGATGTATCGCCGATTCCGGGTCGATTTTCCTCTCATGAGCTGGTCCCCTTCTAACGCTTCCCCTCATCTTCCCAGGAGAGCGACGACAACAACGCGGCAGGTACAGTGGCTTGTAGAAACCTCTCCCTGCTCCAGTGGAAGTGGGGGAAGGAGTTGGAGATTGGATGATGATGATGATGATGATGATGATGATGATGATGATGATGATGATGATGATGATAATGGTGATGGTGATGGTGATGGTGATGGTGATGGTGATGGTGATGGTGATGGTGATGGTGATGGTGATGGTGATGGTGGTGATGATGATGGTGATGATGCTGATGATGATGATGACGATGCTGGTGATGATGATGCTGATGATGATGCTGATGAAGGTGATGATGATGGGTGATGGAGGGTGATCGATGATCGATGATTGATGATGAGGGTGATGATGATGATGATCCTCATTATGATGTAGATGCTGCTGCTGATGATGATGCTAATTATGATAATGATGTTGTTGATGATCATGATGATGCTGCTGATGATGATGCGGACTCTCTCTCCGTATTGCATGTGTCTCTTTCCACCATTGATTGTCATGTGGTGTGCTGGATTTACGGATTCGCCGCTGGAGCCATTGAGTTTTGAACGAATCATTGGCCCGATCTGGCTGATGCGTTGTTGCTGAAAGGTCATATCGATGGGCCTGTGTTTTCTCATCTCGTCGTCGTGCCGGCCTGGCGTCGCTATGTTAGTGGCAACGCGATTGGATTCGCAATGCGCGTTGATGGGTTAGATGTGAGAGGTTTGTTCAAGGTCCTTTTTCGTGGTTGACAGGGCAATTATAGCGATGATGGTGGTGGTGATGATTGTGGCGGTGGCGAGGGGTTTCTCATACATTCCCAGGCGAACTGGTACCTCCCCGGCAAGCTAGTATATTCCCTGGTAGCGCCGGGGAATGTATCAGTTTGCCGGCGTTCCTGCGAATGTTTCGGACGGGGTCGTCGTGCAAAGGTCTGAAATCCAAATATGTAGGTTTATGAGCATCCATTCGGTGTCCGAGAACTGCAAACGGGGGCATGTATAATGTGTTGCGCGTAGATGGAAAAATTGTCGTAGTGCTGATGGTACATTGATCGTTCTAGCATTCGTCACCGTAGTGGTGGTGGATGTGGTGGTAGCGTTCATAGTTGTAGTGCTAGCGTTCATATAGTGTTTGTAGTAGCAGTAGTAGTAGTAGTAGTAGTAGTAGTAGTAGTAGTAGTAGTAGTAGTAGTAGTAGTAGTAGTAATAGTAGTAGTAGTAGTAGTTGTAGTAGTAGTTGTTGTTGTTGTTCTAGTAGTACTCATGCCACGACTAGAAGTAGTAGCAGTAGAAGTACTGTCAGTAGTAGTAGTAGTAGTAGTAGTAGTAGTAGTCGTAGTTGTCGTGGTGGTTGTCGTAGTAGTTTTAGTCGTAGTATTAACCGTAGTAGTAGTAGTAGTAGTAGTAGTAGTAGTAGTAGTAGTAATAGTAGTAGTAGTAGTAGTAGTAGCAGGAGTCGTAGTAGTAGTAGTAGTACTAGTACTAGTACTAGTACTAGTACTAGTACTAGTACTAGTACGAGTACTAGTACTAGTTGGAGTAACGGTAGTAGGAGTGGAAGTAGCAATCGTAGTAGCAGTAGTCGTGATTAGAAGTAGTAGTAGTAGTAGTAGTAGTAGTCGTAGTAGTAGTAGTAGTCGTAGTAGTCGTAGTAGTCGTAGTAGTCGTAGTACTACTACTACTAGTAGTTGTACTAGTAGTAGTAGTAGTAGTAGTAGTAGTAGTAGTAGTAGTAGTAGCAGTAGTAGTAGTAGAAGTAGAAGTAGTAGGAGGAGGTTGAGGAGGAGGAGTCGACGTAGCAGTAGAAGTAATTGTCGTAGTCGTAGTAATAGTACGAGTAACCGTAGTATCAGTAGGACTAGCAATGGTAGTAGTAGTGGCAGTAGGAATTCTTGTACGCGTAGTTGAACGCGTGATTGTGGTAGTGGGAGTGATTTTTGTTCGTGGTCGACAAGGAATGTATAGTAAAAAATCGTTGTAGAAGTAGTAGTGGTAGTCGCCGTAGTAGCAGTAGTAGCCGTAGTAGCAGTAGTAGCCGTAGTAGTAGTAGTAGCAGTAGTAGTAGTAGTAGTAGTAGTAGTAGTAGTAGTAGACCGATCGTCGTATGAGTGGTAGTAGCAGTAGTAGTAGTAGTAGTAGTAGTAGTAGTAGTAGTAGTGGTAGTAGTCGTCGTAGATGGAGTCGTAGATGGAGTCGTAGTGGTAGTTGTAGACGGTGGCGACGATTACTGCTACTGCTACGATTAGTCGTAGTAGTAACGTCCTGGTCGTAATCGTGGTCGCTGAAGTACAGCATTACTTGTAGTTGTTGTTGTACCTGGCCTTGGTAGCCGTCGTAGTGGTAATACTTGTGGCATTCGTAAGGGATAGCAGCGGAAACACTTACACTATTCGCAGTGCTAATCGTAGCCATAGGGGTGGTCGTCATGGTAGTAGCGGTAGCCGTCGGAGTAGTACGTCGCGGTCGTACTAATATTCGTAGTCGTCGTCATGGATGTAACTATATTGTTACTAGGATTGCTGCTACCTCTACTGCTACGACGACTACCACTACGATTTTCACAAGTCATATTTGTAGTAGCTGTCATTGTAATTATGGTACCACTACTACTACTACTACTACTACTACTACTACTACTACTACTGCTGCGACCATCTACTTTTAGGTTACGACTCCGATTACTACTGCTACTGCTACTACTACTACTACTACTACTACTGCTACTGTTACTGCTACTGCTACTACTACTACTACTACTACTACTACTACTACTACTAGTACTACTACGACTACTAGTACTACTACGACTACTACTACTACTACTACTACTACTACTACTACTACTACTACTACTACTACTACTACTACTACTACTACTTCTACTACTACTACTACTACTACTACTACTACTACTACTACTACTACTACTGCTACTGCTACTGCTGCTGCTACTACTACTACTACTACTACTACTACTACTAGTCGTTGTAGTAGTTTGGTTTTTGGAGGCTCTTGACCCCTGTGGATTCGTCGGGATTCTGCGAGAATCTCAGGATTCGGCACGATTCCTGCGGATTCTGTCGGAATCTTGAAGCCCTTGGGGTGCCTCAGGATTCTGGATTCATCGGGATTCCTCGGGATTCCTCGGGATTCCGCGGATTCCAGGGCTTTCGACCCTTAGCCCAGGGCCTAGGGCCCATGCTTCGAGGGTCAGGGCCCAGGGCACAGAACCCAGGGCCAAGAGCTCATGGCTCAGAGCGCGGCCCAGGGCTAAGGGTTCAGAACTCAAGGTCCAGGGCCCAGGGCTCAAGTCTGGGGTCAGGGCCCAGGGCGCATGGCACGGGGCACAGGGCTCAGGGCACAGGTCTCAGGGCTCAGGGCGCAGGGCTCAGGGCCCAGGGCCCAGGGCCCAGGGCTCAGGGATCACGGCTCAGGGTTCAAGGATTCGGGGCGCAAGTCACAGGACACGGGGCGCAGTTCTCAGGGTTCAGGGCACAGGGCTCAGGGATCACGGTTCAGGGCTGAAGGCTCGGGGCGCAAGGTACAGAGCATGGGGCACAGGGCTCCGGGTTCAGGCCTGAGAGCACAGGGCTGAGGGCTCAGGTTCCAGGGGCCTGGGCCCAAGGCACACGGCGCAGGGCTCGGGGCTCATGGCCCCAGATTCCCGGGTGTCCTTTTGGTTGCTAGAGTTCCTTGTGCATTCTTAAAGATGCCTCTGGGTTCCTTCGCGTTCCTTCGGGTTCGTCTGTTGCCATCTGGGATCCTTCAGAGTCCTCTGGATTCTGGGGGGCTCCCCGAGCTTTTCGGGGGTCTCCAAGTTCCATCGGGGTTCTTGTGGATTCTGGCACACCCTTCACACGGTTCGTGGCCCCACTGGGAGTTCCACCGAAGGCCCCAGTGGCAAGGTTTACGTGCGCCCCCGCGGCTAATTTCGGTACGCCCGTCACAAAGTTCGTGGCCCCATAGGGCGCGCCACCGAAGGCCCCAGTGGCAGGGGTCCCCACGGTTCATGCCGGCACGCCCCTCACACGGGGGTTCCACCAGGGGGTTCCACCACAGGCCCCAGTGGCAGATTTACAAGCGTCCCCGCGATTCATGTCGGCATGCCCCTCACACGGCTCGTGGTGCCATAGGGAGCTCCACCACACGCCGTACCGGCAGGGTTCACATGCACCCCCGCGACTGAAATAGTCTTAGTGAAATGGTTAAAATGCGGTGATCATCGCAGGGGTGTAGAATAATTGGAGGGGTCTGACGAAGACGACGACGACGACGATGACGACGATGACGACGACGACGACGACGACTCGTAATTGTAGTCGTGCCCCCCTCACGGCTCCTTCATGGCTCCGTCACGGTTCCCTCATGGCTCCGTCACGGCTCCCTCATGGCTCCCTCACGGCCCCCTCGCGGCTCCCTCATGGTTCCCTCACGTCTGCCTCGTGGTTCCTTCATGGCTCGCTCACGGCTCCCTCATGGCTCCCTCATGACTCTCTCATGGTTCCGTGGTGGCTCCCTCACGGCTCCCACACGGCTCCTTCATGGTTCCGTCAGGGCTCCGTCATGGTTCTTCATGGCTCCATCATGGCTCCTTCGTGGCTCCCTCATGGCATGGCTCCCTCGTTGTGAATATCTGATGTACTTTTTATTTTTAGTTTTATTTTTTCGCGCGCGCTCCCGAACCCGAGCCAAAACCCGAACCCTTACATCCTTATCGCCCTCTTTAAGCGGAACAAAAACCCCAGACAGCAGTAGTAGTAGTAGTAGTAGTAGTAGTAGTAGTAGTAGTAATAGTAGTAGTAGTAGTAGCAGCAGAAGTAGCAGCAGAAGTAGTGGTAGTCAGATTAGTAGTAGTAGTAGTAGTAGTAGTAGTAGTAGTAGTAGTAGTAGTAGTTGTCGTAGTCGTAGCCGTAGCCGTAGTCGTAGTCGTAGTCGTAGTCGTCGTCGTAGTCGTAGTCTTAGCCGTAGCCGTAGTCGCAGTCGTAGTCGTAGTCGTAGTCGTAGCCGTCGTAGTAGTAGTAGTAGTAGTCGTAGTAG